ATTCAGGAGAAGACAGAGACAGACAGACCAGATTATGGAATAATGCAACAAGATCCAGGTGGACCAGGTTATGTGATATTAAATAAAAACAAATCCTGCCCTTGGGCCACCTGAGGGAGATGCACGATCCTCCTAGCCTTGAATCCCAAACCAGGGCTCTTCTCCCCATTAACTCCTCTGCCCCACGCCCAGCTCCCACTACCATCCCCCTCTCTCTGGTCCTCGGCTCCCCATTGATGGGTCTTCCCCTCCTCAAGCCCCGCTCACCTCCCCCAGGTCCTGGGGCTTCACTGGGGCTTCTTTCTCCCTCCCCATCCCCGGCCCCGGCCCATTCCCAGGCCTCCCTCCCTCCAGCCCATCCCTCGCTCCCCCATCCCCGCTGCGCCCCCTCCCGATATTGCCTATCCCGAGCTGCGCTCCAGCTCACCTGGTGCCCCCGACGTTGAGCTGGATGATCTCCCCGCTTCCCGCGCCGGCGAAGCCCCCACCGTTCCCCGCCATCTTCCCCGCCGCCGCCGCCGCCTGCAGCTCTGGGCAGCGCCCGCCGCCCCCTCCCAGAGCCCAGGGAAGCAGCAGGAGGCGGCAGCTGGAGGGGGGGGGACGTGCTGCGGGGTGCCCGGGGCCGGGCCAGCACGGAAGGAACCAGGCCCCGAGAAGCTGCGGCCCCTCGGCCTCAGGCCAGCAAAGGCCGCGACGCCTCCTCTCTCCCTGGCCGGAGCCAGGCGGAAAGTGCCATGGCAACGCGCAGCACCTGGAGGAGGGGGCTCGACACGGGACAAAATACTCCGAGTTCTTCGCGAAACGGACCGGAGGGGAGGGGGTTCGAAGCCCACCACCGCCTCTTGTCTCGGGGAGTTCGCTCACGCAGCCCTTCAAAGGGGGCTAGCTAGACACGCCCACCCCGCGCGGGAATATACAGACACACACACGCCAGTCCTCAGTAGGGGAATGCAACCCTCCCCCTCCAGGGGAGCAGGGCCCATCCCCACACACCCCACAAGGAATTCTTCCGTGCAGTTTCCCCGTGGTTCACTGCTGTTGCAGTGGAGTTACAGCAGCGTAAAACTGGGCTACAGCAATGGTGGAGTAGGGCCTTTTTCAAGGGTTTTAGTCAGATTACTGAAAACCGAAGAAAAATGTGCACAGGACAAGGAGGGGGAGGAAGATTGTCAAGCTAAGAAGTTCTATTTACTTAATGCATAGAATTATTAATAACAGTCGCATTCTTTAAAAAATGCTCAATTCACTATGCTCAATTTTTGAGAGGCCATTAACATTATGATTGCATTTCTTTTTCCTCACTCCTTTATATCCACAGAGAACATGATATCAAGACTGCAAAGATGGAAATCCAAAGTCTGAATTCTGTATGACAACTTTTTTTTTCTACTCATAAAATCTGAGACAAAATTTGAACATGACCAAGCTATTGAACCCTGCTACGGAAAGCTACTACAGCTAGGGAAACATGCTTACATTACTTATTATTATTAAGCATTAAGGCCAGTGGGATGAAATTAAAAGCCATTAGCTACCAAACAGATCACCTCATTAAACAGACATCGAAGGCTTGAGTCCATCAGAACCTCATTAACCATTGAGGGAGACTTATGGGTCCGAAAGACATGAATCTCCCAGGAGGTGGACCTAGACTATACAACTCACTCCTGCACAAGATAAGACTGATCACAGACTTCAGGATTCAGAACTACATACATAACTCTGTTGTTTGACTTGGTTTCCCATCTCCATTGTACTTTCATTTGGGAGTCAAGGGAAAAGGGGAGGGAAAAGGTAAATTCTGCTCCCTCTTCAGCTTCTCCAAAAGGGAAAGCTATAGAGGGATTTTTGTTTACCATACTTTTCATTATGTGGGACCACTGAAGGCCATGTAAGTACAGAGAGACTATGTCTTCACTGCAAGATCTTCCAGCAGAAAATATGCTAATGTGGAACTCATTAGCATAAGTCACAATCTCATTAGTATATTTTCTGCCGTTTCTTTTTGCATAAGCGGTTTTTGCGCAAAAAGAAGCAGTGTGGACGTGGGGGAGGAGGGTTTGTGCAAAACCCCCATTTTGCGTAAGATCCTTATGCCTGTCCTGGAGCGATATGGAGCTGCTCCATGCTCAAGGGTCCCATTGAAGCAGGCCATTGACTTATTAAAAGTCTTGCTAGGCTGGATCTGACCCCGTGGGGTGTATCGTGATTGCCCCAGCGTTAAAGGATAATGTGTATTGTCCTTTGTACAATGAAACATGCTGGTCATAAAGAGATGCACATCTCAGGTTGGCAGAACATATATTGCAACTCTGAAACCACAATGCAATTTGAAAACGAAATCAGCCTACTACAGCATGTAATGGAATTTTGACAAAGAAATAAATTACTATATAGTTTAGGAGAGAAAGTCATAATATTGTGGTTTGAAGGAGTGAGTGTATGCTGCCAGCTTTGTGACCAAGTCTTACAGCCAAGCAAGGTTTTACTGTTTTCAAAGAGTAAGAATTTATAAATCTGGGCTTTTTTCAAGTAGGTGACAATTTGACAAGATACAAAGGTCTTGTGCCAGTTACCCAGCACTATTTAAACCCAATATTGCCATTCTGCAAGGGCAGAGTGGCCATCAGGGTCACAGCCTTACAGTGGAACCTCTGCAGTCATTTTATGTTGTACAAGGGGGCTAATTGTTAGTTTCCAATTAGTCCATATAGAGAGAACCACCAGAGGTGGGCGAGTGTCAGAGCTATTGAATCTTCGCTCACGTGATTCAGTGGTATGAAGAGGGGTAGTAACTGCAATTTCAATCCGTATGCTGAAAAAGTATTTACAGAGAGGGGCTAATTATGGAGTGGATGCCATCCTCACGATCCCCAGGAAGTTCCCCAAACAAAACATTTACTATGATTTTTACCCTGCCACACACAGGCCCAGTGGTACTAACTGGTAAAGGATTCGATATTGTATAACACCACCTATCAGGCCTAACATACTCAGTACTCCTAGCACACTGCTTTCATAGTATTTATCAAGAAAGTGATGTGAGATCTTAAATGCAAACCAAGATCATACTGGTCATTAAGATAATTGTAAAACGTATTGCCTGACACTGTGTAAGGAGTTATTAATATATGCCAGAAAAGAAGTCTTTAAAAGTCTTACTCAAAGCAGGGTTTACATATAGGTTTTTGTCAAAGGGATGTACTGTCTACTTTGTCTACTGTCTTCTGTGGTTCACATTAGATGTGTTGAACTAATTTTTATAGTGGGGGGTTGCTGATGGAAACCATATATTTGGTTTTTGTTATTATTCAGTCAAGGGGTTCAGCAACCCCTTCTCTCTAGTTCTAGCATCATTAGTTTACATGTAAAATGAGTATTGTAAGCCAACACAATAGAAGGTCTAGTTGCATATTAAATTAACATGAAGTCAGCGCACCAGAGAATAAACTTGTGGGCAAGGGTGGTGTCATCCTAACTCTAGGACCAACAATGAATTTTGGACATATGAGGAAAAGGCAAAAGGATATCTTTTTATTTTTCACTGATAAGCAAAAAGGTTTTTTTTTCTTTGTGAAAGAGATGACAGCTATGTTGGTAGAAGATACTGTGAGATTTGTTTAGGTGAGATAAATTACTTGAGAGAGAGGGTTAGCCTGAAAAATTAAGTTTATAATCTAGGAAATATATTATATTTTGTTTTATATATAATAATGTGTTTCAACAATGTGTACTCACTATCTCTTAACTTAGCTTGTGATAATAAACTTACAATTGTTTTCACTAGAAATATACCTCAGTGCTGTGATATTATAAAAGAGTTGATCCTCAATTGAATCAAACCAGCTTGAGTGTACAGTGACCTCTTGAAGATAGCAACAATGCAGCCCTTAACCACTGAATACTTCAGGGAGCGCTTTGAGGATATACTCTGTGCCTTCTCACTAGTCTCCACATAAAGAAGTAGGTCCGCTGAGGCCTGGAAGGCAGTGCTTATGTTGCCAGAGGCGGTTGGTTTTACGGAGCTGACCCTCAGCAGACACAGATGAGACTGCTTCACAGTAATAGCAGGTAGTAGGGAGGTGCTTCACAACTCTGGCATCCTCTTAAGAGAGCCACACATGTTATCCCCATAGAAGTCACAATCCTAGCATCTGCAAAACCATTTTTTATTAATAGTGGTGAAATGCTTTCATTTTAAAGGGGTATCCCCAAAGAAAACTGTTGTGAGGAGTAGTCTACTTAGAAGTTTTAGATTCAGGAGGGGACTACAGTTCCACTGCCTTTTGTTACATAATCAGTAGTTAAGATTTTCTAAACATCTGTGAAAAGATTTAACTTTGCATCAGTCTACTGTCAGAGGAAAACCACAGCTATAGTTCTGAGGTTACCACAGATTGAAGTTAATGACTATTTCAGTGCATACACAGAGAAACTTTCCACAAGTGTACCACATGCAGAGATTTTGTGGGAAACACTAACATTTGCATAAACGTACCATTAATTTACTACAGTCATTATTGCTAAGAACTATTCAAACTTCTTATTGAAAGGGGAAAATGTCAACTTCAAAAGTTAACTTAAATGTCACTGCTTTGCCTGAAAATTGGTACAAGTTTCACCTAAGACTATTACATTTGAAAAAAAAAATGCTGGTCTTTTTTTAAAGTTATTTTGTACATTTCTATACGGATGTAAAATCCAATTTAAAATGTTAACCAGTTAAACTATATGTTTAACTGGTTAACCATAACATTGTAACATAGGCAAGGGGCAGCTAGAAAAGCTCCCTGCTCGTGGTGCAGAGCGATGGGCCTGGTCAGGCTGGAGCAACCACTCTCTGGGCAGCACGTGGGCCCAGCCGGCAGGGCCTTCCCCACCATGCCACAAACAGGGGGCTGCTTCAGTTGCGCTGGGCACCTGTCAACCAGTTACCCGGTAACCAGTTACCCGGTAAGGTTCTTCCTACATCAAAGATAGGGTTTCAAGTTAGTCCTCCAAATTCCTGAGATCCCAGGGAAATTATCTCTTCTTGAGACTCTCTGCTGTACAAATACAGTAAGTCTGATGTGTCCTCTATGAAACATAATCCCCCTTGAAGCAGAATATATTTTAACATTCCTTTGGGAACTGTGAGGCTCTCTCCCTCCAATGCAGAGCTGTGACTAAGAGCCACCATGGAACCAACAATAAATAACACAAAAGAATATTGTATTGTATTTTTCCTTAATATTTAACCCTTTATTGTAAAATTTCTGTGAAGCTGCTGCTATGTGTTGAAGAAGCTAGGGAGCCTTATCACAGAATTTGACCCTAACTTGCATAGATTACACAAGGCACTGAACATATCAAAATAATACTTTGTGTGATTATGATGTATGATTTTTACAGTGTCCTTATGTATTGTAAAGACTCCTTACATTTCTCTATTCTGTTTTTGAGGGGGGTATGATTCTTATAAACTATAAGAAACTAGGAATATTACTTCTAAGAATAAATGGTCAGATTGTTCTTAGTTATTTTGAAGAGAGGGCAGGAAAATATCTGAAAATAGCCTTTAATTGTCTTGAATCTCAGTAGCATTATCTTTCACTGCTCCAGAAACAGTCCATTTACATGATCACCACATATTTGGACATAGCATTGGACATAGCTGGGAGGAGGAAAGATAAAACTTGAAAAAAGGTACTCTCATCAATATTATTGCTTACAAATCTCTATTCTATAGATATTCCTATGGAAGACCATGATGATTTCTCCAGCATATTTTATTCAATGATTGTTTTATGTTCTCTCACAACATACACAAAAGGGCATTATTTATTGTCCTTATGATTTTTGGCACCCTACACACCTGAGTATCTGCACTCTTGAT